GGTATCAACAGCTAATAATATATACAATAATAATTAATAATACAAAACAACAAATAGATATTTTCAGAACCACCATCAATTTTCTTTAGGAGATTTGATGGTTGTCAAAAAATGATATTTTGACATCAGTTTTTGAGAATATGAAGGATAAATAAAATAGTTTTCAGCATATAAGATCATATTCGTTGTTAAAAAAACTATATTTTCAAACGTTTGGTCGAGCTCAACCGGAAAATTGCCTTGAACGATCAGAATATGTAACGAATCTTTGAGTCGAACATCAACTGATGACCAATAAAATATACATTCGTTCTCAAATAATTGAAAATGATATTTTGAGAAAAGCAAGCAAGGTCCAGGTGACTACATTTACATGTATACCTTTTATTTAATCAGCTTTTTGGAACAAATCACGTGGTGCAAGTGGCCACCTCCCACTCCGGCTTCGCTGCAATCGGAGCCGTTGCCGGATTTTCCTATAAAGTGATCGACGTCCGTACGACTCTTATCCCTTCGACGGTGACAGGGGCAGTTGAAGATGTTGGATCCATTGGACCCGACCCATACCACTTAAATACAACCACTAAATGATATAACAGATATATACCTACAGTAAATGATTCAAAAATGTAAAATTAATACTTAAAAAATAAATTTTTTAAGTTAGACAATGTTTTTTATATTTGATTATTATCTTAAAACAATAAAACATATTAACCTTTTTATTTTTATCATATTTTTTGGCAGTAAAATAAAAAATTATGATTATATATATATATATATATATATATATATATATATATATATATATATATATATATATATATATAATTGTGAAGATTAAAAATTGATTAGTTTTTTGGCATTAGTTAAAAATGACAAAAATTAATGTCATATTTTTGTGAATTTTTTGTCCCTCGAAATGTGTGTTGGATTTGAGTGACCAGTCAACTAAAATTGAAATAACCAAAAAACATTGTTGTAATCTATATTCCGTATATCGAATTTATACTCTTATTTGTGTGTGTGTGTTTTTTTGAACTTCAAAGTAATATTTAAATAAGCTACCAGGAACAACAAATGTAATTACAATGTTAAACATGTATTAAAAAGCAACAATAAGATTGCAATACCAAACTATACGGTTTATAAGACTTTTATTTTCTTCTAATAATTTCCCTAAAAAAATATCCGATTTGAACCTCTTTTGCAAGTATGGAGTGATGCTTTATTTGTCACTTTGGATCTTATTTACTTTTAAAGTTGATTTTGATAATGCATTCGACTCGTTAAAATGTGGATTATTGGACTCGGTGTTGGAGCAAATAGAATTTAGCAATAAATGGAAGGGTTGATTCAGGGGTTTTCTTTCTCCGGGAGAGCCTTTATTTTAGTAAATGGCTCCAAGACAAAGGAGTTCGATATTAGAAGAGTGTTAGACATTGGGAACATTTATCTCTTTTTCTTTATTCTCGCCATGGAAGGGCTTAGTCTCATCATGTGTGAGGCGTGTGAGCATCATCTTTTTCAAGGTATATCTCTCCCCAATAATGGTTTTCTTTTGTCCCATCTTATGTATGCGAATGTTATCACTTTTATTGGTGAATTGTCCAATGTGAATTTTGTCAATCTAAATAGAATCTTGAAGTGCTTTTACTTAACTTCTGTTTTGAAAAAGGCGATGTTAAGATTGAACGTTTTGCTAGTATTTTGTGTTGAAAGCCCGTTAAATTTCATTTTCATTTATATCGTTGGGAATCCTTCCCCTGAGTTATTGTTACACATGTTTTTTACGATTGATCAGCTAAAGACTTAATGATTTTTAGAATAAGCTTTTGGGGAAAACCTTAAGTCGCGGTGCGAGTGAGAAGGAAATCATGATGCGGTTGGGCTCAAAACCCTAGATATCGGGTTTTGAACCCCATATATTGAAGCTAACTTTTTGGGTTCCCTCTCATTTGCATCCTCATTCATCCAGAGAGAAACCCTAATCCCTGTGTGTTATTGGTGTGTATTCTTGGTGTTTATGAGCCTTGAGGAGTATTTGGAAGAAGTATGTAGTAAGCTTATAGGTTGGAGTGTTGATTTCCTCATCGGATCTTGCATCTTCTGCACCTTTTGGAGTTTGGAGATGTATAAAGTTCTTACCTTTATCTATTCATTGTGGTTTATTCATGCTTTGAAGCCTTTGGTTGGTCTTGTGAGGAAGGTTCTTGGAGTTTGAGCAACTCTAGAACCTTAGACTAAATTCTAAGTAATTTTTGGACCTTTTGATATGATAAAGTTGGTTGCTTGATACTCATTTGCGGTCATGCATGAACCTTTGATCATTTTAGTTATTTAAAAGTTAGGGTTTAGATCTAAGGAGGATTGGATTTGAGAAATGGATAAATTTGAAAACTTTATCCATACAAAGCTCTGGAAGAATCAAGTCTGAGCTTTTAAACTCTAGACATTATGGAATAAGAGCTTAATAGATTAATTTGTTTAGACACGAACCACGACGCAGTTCCTTGGAAGTCACGGCGCAGGTCGCGATGGCCAACCACAACTCTTTTGACATCTCGTGACCGCAACATGGCTTAAAAGTTGGCCGCGATGCAGGGTCGTTGGCCATTGACTTTTTAACCAGTTTGACTTTTGGTTAAATTAGAGGTTTTGAGTTGTAGACAGAGTTTTAGCCTCTATTTGGTTTAGATGGTTCATGTAATTGATATTGTGAGACTCTTAGAGGTTGGAATTCAACTCTTTGATTCAGGTGAGTATTATCATTATACTATGTAGGACACTAGGTGTCGTTGTATGCTAGATTGTCTTTGTGAATTTTGCATTAAAGACTATTGTGATACCATAGCACTAGTATGAAAGACTATGATGAAACCATAACACCTATATGAAATACTATGGTGGTACCATAACATCTATATAAAGGACTATGGTTGTACCATAACATGAAAGACTATAGTGGTTCTGCAGGAACAGGCGTGAGTGTAAGACTATGATGGTAGCATAACATTCACATGGGTATGTGGTATTTTGCGGAATTCACTAAGATTCGTGTTTGCGAATTAAGATTAAATGTTTCAGGTTATTCCAGAAGCAATGAGAATGACGTAACTTGATTGCACTGCATCCATGGTCATGATTTGGAGAACTCCGCATTTTATAATTTTACAATATTTTATTACTCTAATATATTATGTATTAGGATGATTATCTTCTTTTAAAAATAAATATTTTGGATTAAATTTGGGACGTTACGTTTCTTTTTGCTTTTTAAATATCCAAAGAAGATTAATGATGTTTTGGAAGGGATTGGGAGACAATTTTTTTGGAATGAGAAAGGTAACAAATGAAGGACTTGCCAAAGCAAAAAGAGGGTCTTAGAATTGGGTGTCTTAGAACCTTAAATTTGGCCCTCTTAGCTAAACGTTGGTGGCGTCTTAAAATGGAGAGTTATAGTCTTTGATCTAATTGCATCAAAGCATGGCATAATATTACTTGTATTAATGGTAAGATCATTGCCAAGGCTACCCTTCCGGGTAATTGGTTAAAATTGCTAAATCAAATATGGATTTGGAGGATTGAAATATTAATTTGGGCGTGCTCATTGAGAGAAAGATAGGGGCTGGAAATGATGCTTACTTTTGGAAGGATAAATAACATGAAGGTTTGGTTTTAGAAGATGTATTTTCTGAATCTTATAAATTTGAGTCCAAAAAATTTGAAAGGTGATTGATAGGTTGTCTAACAGTGTTTCGGATGGTAACACGGTTGGTTTTTGGCGTTGGACACGACAACCTAGTGGAAGGAGTCTAATTCATTGGCATACCTGAATAGCAAATCATGAACATTTCTTTTAAAGCATTTCCTGAATTGTATCAAATTGAGTCCAACAAAATTATCAAGGTGATTGATAGGTTGTCCAACAGTGTTTCGGATGGTAAGACAATTGGTTTTTGGCACCGAAGGTGGAAGGAGTCTAATACATTGCCATACCTGAATAGCAAATCATGGACATTTCTTTGAGCTTTGATCGAGTCTTGTAGGTGTAGAGAGGCAATAACAACAATTACTTCTCGATTCGGTCTTTGAGGTGGTTTGTGGTGGAAAGTTAACTATTGAGTGCTTTAAATGATTGACCTCGAAAGTTACTTGTTTTGTTTGGCATTTGATGCTTAATAGAATTCTGGTTGCATGTAATCTTGCTTTGAGAGGGGTGTCATTGGACTCTTCTTCGTTTCTTTTTTTGTTTGAAGGCCAAGGAAGATATGGAGCATGTGTCTTTCAAGTGTCGAATTCTTATAACCGAAAGGCTTGTTTAGTAGGCCTCCTACGGATTGTCCTTCTTTGGTCTCAACTGTTGACTCCATGAGGGCTGACAAAAGAATATGAAAATTGTTGCTTGCCTTGACTTATTCAGTGTTATGGTTATTGTAGAAAGCTATGAATAACTTGTCTTTTAAATAATATTTCTCCGCATTTTGATGAAAGCAATCATTCCATTGAGAGACTTGTTAGTCGATTTAATATAAATTTTAAAAGGTTAAGTCTATATGTACATCTCCAATTGTTTCATGTACCCTGAATGAGTGAGTATGTATCCCATATTTAACAATTTATGTGAGTATATATCTCCATGGTATTCTCCGCATCAAAACAACACCAAATATAATTTCAAATAACTTTCTGAAAATGGAAAGATCCGTTTTCGACTGGTTCGAATAAAACGTAGAAACGATATCTTAATAAAATTATTGACCAAAACTGCGATAATCTAATTTAATTGTTTGATTTTATTGGTCCCACCGAGTTTTTGACACCCTTCTTCACACACCTTGCAGCACATGGCAGCTTAATTGGGCTCCTCCATTACTCCACCATTATTAATATCCCACGTTCCCTCTCCATCTCGTCTACACGTCTTCCTTTTACACTGCCCCATTTCCATCTCCAATTACTCGTAACCACATCTGCCGGATTCCTAATCGCCGGCGACAATGACGTCGTACGGCACAATTCCGTCGTCATCCGACGGAGGTTCTTCAAAGGTCGAGTTCCTATCCCGCGCAAAAGAACGCATACAAACAGGACTCGGCGTATCACGGCCGTGGAAACAGATGTTCGATCTACATTCGATCAACATACCTCACGGCTTCGCTGACGCAATTTCACGGATCAAAACGAACTTCGGTTACTTTCGTATGAATTACGCGATGATTGTGCTCGTAATTTTGTTCTTAAGCTTGTTGTGGAATCCGATCTCGTTGATCGTTTTCGTTGTGTCGATGGCGGCCTGGTTGTTCCTCTACTTCCTCCGTGACGAGCCTCTTGTGATCTTTCACTACACGATTGATGATCGTGTGGTACTGGCGGTTTTATTTGTTGTCACGGTGGTTTTGCTGCTGTTGACCGGCGCCACGATGAACATAATCTTGTCCGTTTTGATCGGACTGGCGGTTGTGGTGGTTCACGCAGCTCTCAGGAAGACGGATGATTTGTGCTTAGATGAAGACGGCGTCGAGGCAGGCGGATTTTTGGCGGCTTCTTCGCCATAGAAGATAGTTTCGAAGAAGTCATTTGCACAATATCTGGGTTTGTTAATTTTCAGTTTTAGTGATGATATTGAGAGCTTGATTTATGCGTCGCAAATGTGAAATGTGATGTCACTCATTTCTGTATCCTGCTGTGTTTAAATTTGATTCATTTTTAGGATGTGTTTGGTTTTTAATTTTGATCAAATGCAAATGGAAGAAAAGGAGGGTGTATTTTTATTATATTTTAAGATGTCCATTTATGCAGTTTTAGTGATGATATTGGAAGATTTATCAAATAATGATTTTCCAATAAAAGTTGGAAACTATGATTACAAATTGCAAATGTAATATGACAATGGAAAGAAATAAGGAATGATACGTATACAATTTTAATGTTCTTTTAGGACGATGGATTGGACTAATAATGAAATAGAATATACAGCGTAATGCATTGAGTATGGGTCATCAAAATATATTGTTTTGTTTTTGTGCATAATTGGGAAGGTAAATAAAATTTAATTCTATTTTTAAACATATGTTGATGTACAATGTATTTAAAGTTGTTTTCGAAATATAATTTATAAAATTTTGTTTAGAAAACAACTTTAGATAATATGTTTAAAATAAAGTTATTGTCAGTCCAACAATATTTAGTATATTGATTTACAAGGTTATTTACGATTTTTTTTAGGTGTATTTGTTTGTGTTTTACCCGCTAATAAAAGGATAGACCACATTTTAAGTCAGCTTTATCGGTTACAACAAGCTTATTTGGCTTTTTATTTTTCTTTTTAAAAGCTAAAATTGAAAGAATAACCCATGTGAGTTTTTTTTTTCCCGAGATACCTCATTCTTCTCTTATGAATCGATTTGTAGCTTTGGGTTCTAACGATCACATGTTTCTTCTTGATCTCCACCTCTCGAATCAATCTCACAACCTCCTTCTCTCCTGTTCTCCTTCAAGTCGCACTGTACAAACTTAGGTTCATCCACCCTTCTTACCTTCAATTGAGTTGAAGGTCTGATTGAGCGAGATGAAGAAGGATGTGTGCATCAATCTTCGATCACTTCATGCATCTGTTCAACTTCAGCCACTATCGATCCGAACAAGTTGTCGAAAGTTGAAGTTTAGCATCTTTAATGTTGGTAGAAGAACCATGAAAGGATCTTCTTTGTTTAACTAGTGAAAGCTTTTCTTTGAGTCAACGTCTTTCACTTTTTCAACAACTCTAATCCTTTTTAGTTTATCAACATGTCTTTGTTTGAACTTCGAATCGATGATTATGTCAACGTCTACATCGTTTTCGAATTTTCTATTTCATCACTCGTATGTTTCATCATCTGATTTCATTCTAGATTTCTTTGTACTGTTTGAATTTTTGTGAAAGATAGAAAGGAAAAATCAACTTGGATGAGATATGAGCACCACGTGGACAATTTAAGTTAACCAAATGCCATGTGGGATATCAAAATTGATGATTAGGAAGGGGTTTACTGGGTGACCCCTTCATATTTTTGATAATGACCTTTTAAAACGGTAAAACACAAGTACGTACCTCTAAATGCAAATATATATATATATATATATATATATATATATATATATATATATATATATATATATATATATATATATATATATATCGCAATGGACCTTTTAAGCCAATATACTAAAAATCGTTGAACTACAATGACAATAACCCTTTAAAATATTATGCTATTCGAATAATTAAATAACTGAAGAGTAACACCAAAAAAGCTTGTAGTCTAATGATATCATTAATTGGTAAAATATGACATTTATTTGTAGTCTAATGGTATCATTAATTGGTAAAATGTGACATTTAATCATAGGTTGTTAGTTCAAGACCCCTTAAGGATGAAAGATGTAGTTTAAGAGTCGAATAAAAATGTGTGTTTGTCGTTCTAATAAATAAAAATAATTTAAATGTAATGGTAAGTTTTCATTAATAGTCAATTTTACGGGTGAAACCAATGTACCCTAATGACTAGGTAGGAATTGGCATATGCATAGGATGTGGAACGTCACATGTAAAAACACTATAATTATATATTTCGAATCCTAAAATTATTTATATTTTGAATCTCAACGATTTCCCAACTTCCTAGAATCTGAAAGAATACTCTTGAGACCTTAACCAATCTGATGATCCAAAACACCACCCATGGTACCATACTGATTCATTGAGTTCTTATGCATGTGACTAAGAACCATAACCCTTGCCATGCACTGATGAACCACCGAGACCTTCCTGGTCCCAATTCATTTGTCAGTCATCTGAAATATTGGATTTTGGCCCGGCTGCAGTGTGACATCCCCAAAATCACAGTCAGAAAAGACCGATTTCATTTATGCTTTTTAAAATAATTTCAGAGTAAATCCTTTTGATTTAAAAGTGTTGCGGAATTTGTTCCCAAAACAAAACATGATAAAATAATATTTATCAAAGCATTTCATCAAGAGATGCATTTTCATTATATAATCAAAACTCGGGGTGTCATGTTCCGATACAGACCATAAAGCATAAACGATAACATTACAAGTCATTCGACAAATATAAACATATACAGACTTATAAACAAAACAACTCGATTATTCATCCATCTTACGCCCTTGCGCCACTTCCTGTAATACAAATAAAACTGAGTGGGTCAGGCTTGGGAGCCTGGTGAGCATATAGGGTTTTCAACCCACAATAAATAACTTATATTTAATTTCACCAACCAATCACTATCCCGATTACCCATTCCCGTTATCCTCACTTTACGTCCCTAAAACAACATCTATCTCAAGGGACCTAATCTAGGATTTTCATCGGGACGGACATTACTGCTAAGGGGTTTCCTTAACAATAGATATCCTAAAGGCAACCATGAGGGGGATAGAGTACACCGGTGAACACATCGTTCACAACACCTACAAGTTATGAACCTACTAGCGTTCCACGAGACTGTCTATAAGGAGTCTGTGGTCGTTATCCATACTCCGCTGAATAACTAGGTCAACAACAACAACATCGAGGCCTCTCATCTGTTTATTACACACCAACTAGCTACCCATGTTCTACCCAACATATTAGTAGATAAAAATATATATTTTTATACATAATTTAAAACTTGTATAGCATTTTCCTTCCATACATATTTCACATAACAGATGAGGCATACCCACATAACACGTATTTCATAGAAAACAAATCAGATCTATGAGATTGAAGAGAGTGAATATACATTCACGCACATAACAACAAAATTATACACATAACACGTATTTCGTATAAAATACTTCATAATTATGCGTTAGAAGAAAGTAACTACACACTCACACATATAAACAACAATATACTTAATACACTCAAACCATACTTGTATTATTATCGTGTTTATGAAACGTAGTATACACTCACTTGATCAGAAGATGATCGGACAGCACTACGACCTGCAAAAGTAGTATTCTTCGGCAGATCTGGAAGATCTCTACAAAAATCGAACTCCTCGCGGACAAAGCTTCGGCTCGGGAATCTTACTTCTCGGGATCTTCGGGACCTCAGGACTTGCTTCGGGGCTCGGGAATATTACCGGGGCTTCGGGGTACTTCTGGCACGCAAATCGATGCAAAACGGGAGAGAGAAGAGAGAAAAATAACAATAAAACTCGGCAGCCTCGCATGCTATTTATAGGAGGCTGGAGCCTCGGAGTACGCGGGGCGTACTGGTCCGAAATCGTCACTGCTTACGAACCGAAGTCCTCGAGTGCGAGTGTCAACATTCCTCGGTGTATGCGGGGCGTAAACGAGTACGCGGGGCGTACTTCGGATGAGTCCGATGACTCGCCTTCGGATAATATCGAATTTAAAAATTAAATTTAATTATTAATTATTTAATAAACTTCGAAAATTCATATCTTCTTCATACGAACACCGTTTTCGACGTTCTTTATATCCACGCAAAGGTGAGACTATGCTCTACAACTTTCATTTAGACTCCGTCGGCTAATTTTGATTTATTTTTATTATTTATATTTAATAGGCAGGACAGAAAATTTTGTTATAAATTCATAACTTCTTCGTTTGACGTCCATTCTCGCATAACTTTTTATCGCTTCGATACTAACAACGAGATCTTCGATTCTCGTTTAGATCACTAAGGCTAAATATCGCTCTAACGTAAATTTCACTTTTTACGTCATTCAGCGTTGTCGGTTCTGTCGCGAAACTTCGACAGGTCATAACTTCTTCGTTATAACTCGGATTTCGGCATTCTTTATATCTTCGGAAACCTTGTTTCAACTACTAAAACATTATCTAAAGATATCAATTTTATTTTACACTTAAATTTTTTACACTTATTTTTATTCTTAATTAGTCAAACCACATAATTAAGCAATTAAGCACAAAACACATAATACTCAAATAATACACTTCTATTATTTCAAAACGGGTTACAAAGGTTAACCTAGACTATTACATTGCTAAAAATGGCAAGCCTAGAAACACAGGCGTTAGATGCGGAGCCAAAGGACTCCCACTTAGTCGCCTCACATGACTTTTGAATGAAATCCTTCTCTGGAACTAGTTGCCACTAGTTATTATGCCACTGTGGCTCTAACAACCTAGTGAATGCTACGGCTACGCCCGCAGTCTTACAACACTCTAGCACTATCTGGCTGCTAGTGAATGCTACAACTACACCCGGAGACTTACAACACTCTAATACTATCTGAGTACTAGTGAATGCTACGGTTACACCCGCAGACTTACAACACTCACCATACCGGTCGAACACGCACTCGACCTAAGACACAACTGAACTTGAGTCCTAAATAGAGCTCTACATTGGTTCCTAAAACCTGTTGTCCGAGAGTCTTGAAGGTTGTTTGTTGCTCAGGCCCCAGCGGAAGGCCACCAACTTCTTGGAAAGTCGGGTCAAAGGAACTGCAATCTCAGAGAAGTCCCGCATAAATCTCTAATAATAACCTGCTAGACCTAGGAAACTCCGAAT